GTCAAATTATAATATACCAAAGAAAGGAATTTTTTATCAAACCATTATTTTGAATATATTACGCGAGAAACCAAGGAAAATACGAGTATAATGTACACGAATTCGGCTTTTTGTAGTTTACAAAGCTGAAACCAGGATTATTTTGTGGGGAAAAATAGTACATGTATTCATTTTATTTTTCAGGACTTCAAAGAGTTTTCTATAATAAGAATTTACTACATAAGTTATGGAGAAATTGTAAGATTTGTGTAAAACACTTCACGCCGCTATCAATATAGTGTAATTATGCTGTCTTGAAAAAGAGCTAGTCTATGCTGGCAATAAAGAACAACAAATTTGCAGTATTTTTTTTTCAAGTTTGACAGTCAATTATAAATAACAAACCAACACTTGCAATCACTTCTTTAATTCGAAAGCTTGAAAAGAAAAGTGCATACGAAATCGTTTAATTCTCTCATTATCCAATGACGTCAACATCATCTCTGAAAAATAATGAATTTGATATTATTATATCCTTTCGTTAATAACAAAACATTCTTCCAAGTAGAACACTTGATAGTTGATAAACTAGAAATTGCAATATATTATTATCGTAACGCCGAGGTCGTATATTAATCTGAATAATTTATACAACATGTTTATGTGTATATCAACTTTGAGCTATCTTTGTAAAATGTAAATAAATACATATCCGAGTACAAGTCTTCATTTTAACAAATTAAACGAACGCTGTTAGATACAAAGGAAGCTAATATATTTATTGCATTATACTTGTCAAGACTCTAAATTCAGTTAACAACCTTGAAGTTGGGATGGCCAATAGTCGTTTATCATTTATTATAAAACCGAGCCAGATTTTTGTTGTGAGCTTTTACTTACGCTGCTTTACAGATATAGAAGTCCTGTATGTCACAAGGTTGGTCATTCCACTGGTAAGCATGGGAATCATGACCCCAGAGTGCAACACAGTCTTCCTCCCTGAAATATATATCCTTTAACTATATGTCTTATCACTGTATAAGGAAATGCTGTTTAGAGAGAGTAAGACGTAATCAGACACAAGCAAACAGTTTGAACGAATTAATGTGTGCTACATGACACGTACAAAAAAACTCGAACTAAAATTAATGATATAAATAATTTGCTTTAAAATTTAAAAAGCCGAATATGAAAATCAAAATTGCGATGTTTAAACAAAAATCCTTTTTATAATATATATAATATATTAAAAATAAACGTTTTATATGTCGTAAGGCTACATATACGCAGTGAGAGAAGAAATTATTTTCATTTCAAAGAAATAGATCGAAATCGATTCTGCGAAAAATAGAAAACAAAATATTCTTCAAGCTGGGAAAAAAATTGCATCACATACTGCAATGGGATCCCGAGCATTACAAAAAGTTAGGTCTAGGTTTTCACAAATCATTTAAAACAACGGATAAAATCGCAGTGTAATCTTTTATCAAAAATACGTTTTGAAAAGTTTGAACTAACCTGCCGTCGTACCAGTGATTGTTTGGTTCCCCTCGGAACCAGTCAGTCGTAGTCATTGGTATACCTTCCGGATAACCCCAAACCCATGTTCCTTCAACGGCAAGGTCATTTCCGCTGGTCCAGTAACCAATAGTCTGAGGATCTGAAATGTGACAACGAGTTCCTTGTTTAAATTGAAAATTTTGGTTTAAGTACATGTGTTTCTTTTAGTAATGACTTGTAAAGCTTATCGATGATCATATTTCTGGAACTTTGTTCTCATCATAAATCATCTAAACAAATTAAGTGATCTTAGGCACACTTGAATATTTTCTCTACGTCCAGTCAATAGAGAGTTAATACTTATCTGGCAATGGCTCACACTATAGTACAAACTCTACAGAACAATACCTTTAACAGACAAATACTTTGGTTGGTGCTGAGACGTGTTGCTCTACGGAGTTTAAATCTATTATGAAGTACATGTATTACCATGGATAAGATGATTCCATTTGTGTAAATTAGTGATTGCTCTAAACAGGGCCCCTCTGTACGTAGAGGTCAAACTATATATATTCTAAAATTTCATAGCGATAAAGAAACAATATTTATTTTTATTTTTGGAAGGAAATTTTTTCAAAAAAAAATTTCCTTTCTATAGTATCGGTCTGCCTATATTAAAAAGAACGAACAACACCTAATTGCATTCTGTTTAAGCTCAATAGAAAATAAGTAGTTAATGCGACCAAGAAAGTAGTGCAGCAGAACTATATGTATACTTTCAAACGTGGATGACTTGAAGAAAAAGCTGATGTTCAAAAAAACTTGAAATGATGATATTCAATGTTAGCTTACATCAATGGAACATAATCTTAAACGTGTACGAAAAAAAAACATCAGTATTATTACGCATTAGGCCATGTCCATGTGTCCATGTACCTATGTACAATAAATTGAATATAAATAAGGTGTAATTTTGTAGCAGAGATGCTGAAAAGTTCACATATAAGTCAACCGAAGGGAAATGAAAGTATTTATTGTATATATTTAGCAATTTATTGAATAGCATTTTATGCCACCGCTGATTTTTTTACGTCGATAACTCAAGGGGAAACAATGGATACAATATGTGGCCTTAAAAAGGCGTACTATTTTCGCAAAAAATGGTTCGCAAACTCACAGACACTGTGCGCAAACTATCATAGAATCAAAGCGTTTGAAACAAAAATGTTATTATATAAATAATAAAAAACAAGATTCCAATACAAGTCTTTCAAAAGTTTTCTGAGTTTAACGGATGCAATTTGGTAAAACTTGGTTTTGACGAATAAGTAGGGCACACCCGCCATTGTTCGGACCATCGACGGAATAACGTTCGTGTTTTTCAGATTTCTCCATCCAAGACATAGATTTGCTGATGAATAATATCGTAAAGGTTTGTGGAAATGCTTTTATTTCTTTGTTCAAAATCGTTTTGTGTTTGCAGATGTTAATTTGTTAGACAAACGAAATTAGGTCAAGGATTGTTTACATTATTGAATTTACAGGTAAACTCGGCCCTATACCAACTCGGGACAGGTCAACTCGGTCCTCTATTAAAACCATATATTAGGATATAGATTGTTTAGTTAAGGTAGACCATGGGTAATGGGCACCATAAGGAACTGTAAAATTGACAACATAGGACAGTTATATGTCTTCAAGGTCACCTGTATGCAAAATTTAAATAAAATTTACCGTGTTGTTTATGAGTTATGGATATATTTCTGAACTAAGACTTTGCCATTAGAAGGGCTTATTTTCAGAAATGAGGAAACTGTAAATAATCTGTAATATCATCATTATAAAAATGTTTTTCTATTGCTCATTGTTAAGAAACAAATAACAACATTCAGGTAACACATTACACAAGCAAAATGTTTGTTTCTAAACAAAATGTTCTTAATACGTATAATAATGTTACCCTACCCCACCCACTTTTAACACTAATTTTACCATTTCCCTATCTAAAATGCCTTATTCAAAATATTCCTAAAATTTATCGAAATGAGGGTCTGTTTTCAAAGTTTGCCTAAATTTTCACAAAGGTATATTAGTTGATCATGCGAAATATAAAATACTTTTACCGTGTAGATTTTATTTTATCGAACTTTGAAAATATCTGTAATCATATTTGCTGTAAATTTTGGCATTATTTAGCAAAAAAAAACCCTAAAATAATTATATAATTTAAATCAAACTTTTTTTCTTCCATAAGGGATCAGAGAGATACATAAATAATGTTAAAAAGAAAAAAAAAGAAAGAAAAAAAATTGCCCCTTCTGGGGATTGAACCCACGCCCCTCAATTTCAATGTAGTTTACAAGCGATTCTAGCCTATTTAAATACTCTTCAAAGTGGAGGTAATGCATTACCCATGGTCTACCTTAATAACATATTGTTTGAAATTATCTTTAAGATAAATAATTATCTTAAGAAGAGATATCAAGACAATATATGTTAAATATTGATCAATAAATAGAGTTTTTAGATTGAATTTTTGTGACAATGAATTTTATTGTATTTAATACTGTTTGTTTTTTAATAGAAATCTATGACAAATGCCTTTTTAACGATATTTTTTACCAAAAATCTGGAGTAGCATAAAATGCGTTTAAATTGTAAATTCTTTCTTTCTCTACAAATTCACATACAAATTGGTACTTTCATCAATAAAACTTTTCAATATCCTTGAGTAGATGTCTCATTTGTCTGTTTGTGTGAAAATGTTAAACCATGAAAGTTATGATGAAAACATATCAAAAGTAAGAAAAGTAATCATTACCAGTAATATATAATTATGGGCCGAGTTGACCCGTGCTGAGTTGGAATACGGCCGAGCTGACTCGAGGGCCAAGTACGTTTAAGGGCCGAGCTGACCCTGATTCGAATTTACAGTGTTGACTGTTGTGTAGGATTTGCTTTTTCATTTCTATTGTATATAGACTATCTATTAACATAGAAATAAGTTTATAATATAATATATTTAACTGTTGTGAACAATTGATATTCGATAACTGTATCAAAATTTATCTTGGCCCTCTTGATTTTTATTTGGCGAGGTCCGAGGACAGACAGCCTTTCGCACAGACTACAATTTGCAGTTTGTATAGTAATTTTTAGTGTTTGATGATCAGAAGATTTTTTCCTTCTGAAAATCATGGACTTGAATAATTCAAATCTGTGTGAAAGCGCAAAGAGAAAGAGACGGAAAATTAATTTATTATTTCTATGGACAATATTGATGTAATAAATTTGTAATAAAACATGTGGGTCAATTTCCAGCAGAAATTGAATCATGATAAAGTATTTTTAATAATTTTATTTAACTTGTGGCTACTTGAAAATTTCATGCTGGATGTTTGCTTACCATTACATTTTGCATAAGAGCTCTATGATTGACATTAAAGTCCACGGGCCAATTCATTTCGGATATATCTATAATCTTTCCGATATCTTGTTATAATATAAATGAATGAACATCATTGTAGAATTATTAGGAAAAAATATATATATGTTCATTCTTTGTAAAAATGTTAGAAGACTTGCAAGTTACCGACTTTATCATTGCATTTATTTATTATTGAAAAAATGCTGAACAGCTAGTCTCAACAGTGTTTATAGGCTAGAATTTTCAGTTTGCATTAGGGCCAAAATTATTAAATATATTTTTAGTCATGACGGCTTTCCCATTGCTGTCATCAAACTTTAACCTTGTTCATAACTTTTTCAGATCTTGGTGTATTGTCTTCATACTTGGCCACAACAACCCTTCAAATAGACCAGACTAAACTAAATTAACTTGACCACCATATTAACATTCAAGGTAAATGTCTAAATTTTCTTGATTTTTGCTACAAGTGGCTATAACTTTGTTATTTTTGAATGGATTGTCTTCAAACTTGAACAGCTATCTTTCAGGATAGGACCTGACTCACTCATAAATGTCCTTGAAGCTTTTGTGATCAGAAGTTGTACAGAATAATACAAACCCAGAGCAATTTCATTCACTTGGTTTTGCAACTTCTGAGAATATGGATTTTAAAGATAGTTGTTTTCTTGAAATTTCAGGACAGTATAGTACTAGTAGATAGTAAAGACATTTAATACATACTGTATATACACTATAATTACTATAGTATACTATAAAAATCTTTATGCTTGGATAATTTTGAACAAATTGTTTCTTAAACAGTGTAAGAAATTAGGATTTGAATCGACTAGGCTGGTCAGACAACTAGATTGGAATATTCACTTGTCCAAAAGACTTTTCACTAGCACGATTCATTTGTTCAAAACACTTGTTTATATTGCCTCTGAAAATACAGTAGCCTGGTCGGGCTTGTTACTGTGAAAAGTTGATAGCCCGAGGAGAAATTTAGTAGTCGGGCTCTCGGACTACTGCTGATTTCGAAGACTGCTTAAATTATTGATTTGATATCAACTAACATAATTATTGGGATACTATATGTATATCTAATAATAATAATATTTTATGTTTCCGAAGTTCGGCCTACATGTCAGATTTATGAATGTGAACAGCAGGATATCGATTTTAAGGATGCTTTAGGGTCAATGACAATGAAATCACGAGAGATAAAGGCTAAAATGTGAGACTGTCAATCTGACTAACCTTGAAGTGAACAAATGGAAAAAATGTTTCTTTCAATAGCATGGGCTTTTAAGGAAGAGGTACATGATTATTTAGAAGTATTTGTATATGATATTTCTTAATTATTATATTCTAATAGCTTTTTAACCAGGTTTTCCGAAGGAAAAAACTGGTTATTAGATTGAGGTATGTCTTTTTTTCTTGACTTGTTTAAAGGCTGACACAGGACAGTTTATTTTAAGTCAGTGAGCTTCGGTCACTGGATAGACTATTGTCACAAAAAGCCAAATTTATAAAAAAGAATTACAGTGTATTTAAATATCTTATACAAGAAATTAGGAACAAAATTAATAGCAAGAACAATTGTGACATGTAACATGTATTTAGGAATTCAGCTTTCTTTTCCTTTTTACCTCAGGACAATTCACATTAAAATATTGAATATTCACAGTTAGCAGTGTTAGCACTCCGACATATCTGACATATATGATCATCTTACATCACTTAGCTGTCTATAGCTTATCAGAATCACTCACATTTATGAAATTTAAATAATTTTGAAAAAATTGCTGCTTAGCAAATAAAATACTTGGGGTGTCTGTGACTGATTGGTTTAGTTTCTTGACTTTAAACCTTTAAGCCTTTCACTGCTGTAAGTTCGAGCTCGGCAAGGGTTTACAAGTAAAATTTTAACTTTGCAATTAACTTTTTCTAAACAAATATTTCAGGAAACAGAGGCGCTTATATGATAGAACAGTAAAAGCAGGAGTGATAAGGAAAGATACATGTAGATGTGTCTTCATGTCGGAAACACTAAAGAAATAGAAATATTGTGGTTTTATAAAACTTAAAAGAAATTGGAATACCAGGAGACTGCCTGCCCTTTGCAATGTTGGATAATGAGTTCTTAGATGTGATGTCAAAAGCCTCATGAATATAGTACCATGAGTTAATCTAATTAGAAAAAGAAATGACATTGAGGAGAAAACTAGTCGCCAGTCTTTCACCAAGAACTAGAGATAACTTTCCAATATTTGAAATATCATAATATGTTTGTTTGTTTGGATTTTACGGCACGTCAACACATAAATGGCCATATCGTGCCGAATGCTAAAATAGGCTTAAACTATTGTCATAATATGTATAGAACTTTATTGAGCCACCAGTTTTTCACCAGGAAAATAAGATCACTTAACTATTTTTAGCTCACCAGTCACAAAGTGACAGGGTGAGCTGTTTTGGTCGCTTTTCGTCTGGCGTCCGTCTGTAAACTTTACTTTAAATGACATCTCCTCATAAACCACTAAGCCAATTTCATCCAAACTTCACAGGAATGTTTCTTTGGTGGTCACCTCTAAATATTGTTCATAGAATGCTGGTTGCCAAGGCAACCAAAAGAAAAAAAATTAAAGTATCTTCTTTTAAAGAAACCAAAGAGCTAGAGCTTAGACAAAGTATCTTCTTTTAAAGGTATGAAACATCTTCTAGTGAGTGTCTACCAAGTTTGTTCAAATAAAAGCCCTGGGGGTCAAAATTGGCCCCGCCCCAGGGGGTCATTGAATTTCCCTATATGCATATAGTAAAAACTTAAAAATCTTCTTTTAAAGAACCAAAATAGCTAGAGTTTAGATATTAAGCATGAAACATCTTCTGGTAAGTGTCTACAAAGTTTGTTCAAATAAAAGCCCTGGGGTCAAAATTGGCCCCTCCCCGGGGGTCATTGATTTTCCTTTTATGTGTATAGCAAAAACTTAAAAACCTTCTTTGAAAAAACCCAAATAGCTAGAGTTTAGATATTAAGCATGAAACATGTTCTGGTAAGTGTGTACAAGGTTTGTTCAAATAAAAGCCCTGGGGTCAAAACTGGCCCCGCCCCAGGGGTTTCATTGTTTTTAACTATTTGTGTGGCGGCGGCGTGGCCGAGTGGTTAATGCGTCGGACAAGTTATCTAAGGATTGCTGACCGCGTGGGTTCAAACCCTGTCAGGGGCAGCCGTTGTTTCCTTGAGCAAGAGACTTTACATTCAATGCTTAGTACTGGTTGGTTCCAGGAACGGATTCGAGTGTTTTAATAAGCTTATAGCTTCCAACACAATCGAACTAAAATAAATTTGTATAAACCAACTATTTGTGTATAGTAAAAACTTAAAAAATCCTCTTTTAAAAAACCCAATGAGCTAGAGCCTAGATGTTTAGCATGAAACATATTATGGTGTCGACCAAGTTTGTTCAAATTTAAGCCCGTGTATAAAAATTGGCCATGCCGGGGTGGGGGGTGGTGCAGAGGTCTTTGTTTTACATTATATGTGTGTAGTAAAAACTTAACATCATGAAACATCTTCTAACGGGTGTCTTACAAGTTTGGTCAAATAAAAGCCCTGGGGTTTAAAGTGAGTCATGTCAACAACCAGACCTCTACCTCCAGGGTCAAGGTCGCACTTGCTCATTCAAGGTCAACTTGTCTATTTGAGAGTATATCTCGTGTCCGGTCTATAACTTTCCTATCTCTAAAGGGATTTTGTAAATACTTGCCACAATTGCTCACAATAATGAGAAGATGTGTCATGCTCAACAACAGGTCACCTGCCTCCAAGGTCAAGGTCACACTTGGAGGTCAAATATTAGCATAGTGTGTTACAGGGTATATTTCGTGTCCGGTCCATAACTTTGTCATTTATTGAAGGAATTTGAAATAACTTGGCACAAATGTTTGTTATAATAAGACGATGATGTGCAACAACCAGACCCCTACCTTCAGGGTCAAGGTCACACTTGCTCATTCAAGGTCAACATTGTCCATTTGAGGGTATATCTCGTGTCCAGTCTATACCTTTCTTATCTTTAAAGGGATTTTGTAAATACTTGCCACAATTGTTCACAACAATGAGATGATGTGTCATGCGCAACAATCGGTCACCAACCTACAAGGTCAAGGTCACACTTGGAGGTCTAAGATTAACATAGCCTGTTATAGGGTATTTTTTTGTCCGGTCCATAACTTTTTTTGTACATCAAAGGATTTTGAAAACACTTGGCACAAATATTCACTATAATAAGACAATGTGTCATGGGCAACACCTGCATCCCTACCTCCAAGGTCAGGGTCACATTTCGAGGTAAAAAATTAACATAGTCTTTTAAAGGGTATATATTGTGTCCAATGTAGAACTTCTTCATAGTTCAAGGGATTTTGAAATAACTTGGCACAAATAGTCACAATAATAAGACGATATGTCAATTACAACACCTGCACCCCTGCCTCCAAGGTCAAGGTAACACTTAGAGGTATAAAGGTAACAAAGTCTGTTATATGGTATATTTTATGCCCCGTCCATAACTTCTTCATAGATGAAGGGATTTGGAAAATACTTGGCACAAATAGTCACAATGATAAGATGATATGTCATGCACAACACCTGCACCCCTACCTCCAAGGTCAAGGTCACACTTAGAGGTCAAAGCAGGGATTTTTTCCAGGATTTTGGGAACATAACCCATACCCATGCAACTGGAAATTTCAGCGATATTTTGTTAAAATTGGGAAAAAATGCATGACTGAAAGTTTGCAGTGATTAAATGTATGCAAGCAATCACTGCCTAGGATGGCTTCTTCAAACATTTAAACACTATTACAGTAAAGAAGCCCTTATTTTCATAGATTTTAGAATTCTTTATTCAATATTTATATTTTTGTAACTTTCAATTGGGAATATTTTCCTTTGGATTGGGAAAATAATATACTATTTTCAATTGGGAATATGTCCCAATAACGGCTATAAAATAAGCCAAAAAATCCCTGCAAAGCTTAACATGATATATTTTGAAATTCAGTATTTCATTTTATTTCTTTGATAAATTTATTGTTGCATTTGCAGATCTAGCATTGATCATAATTTTGGACTGAAAATCCTTAGATCCCTGCCTCAATCTTTTGAAATAGCACAATTTTTTGCTTCATATAAAACTTCCCTGAGGCGGGGGACATTGGTATCTCTGTTACAAATTCTTGTTTATTTTACCAACAAGTGTTCACTTTCAAACTTTTGATCATTGTATTTTTTGTACTACCTTTTGTATAATGTTGTATTTTATTTATGTTCTTATTCTAAGATTAGCATGGCCAACTCATGAAAGTCCAAATGTTCAACTTTTTTTATGTTTTTTTTTTTTTTTGTTTTTTTTTTTAACATTTTTTACAGTGTTCCTCTGAATCATACATTCTGTTTTAGTTAAACATGCACTTCTTATTACTTATTTTCCCATACTTCATATTACATTGATCACGGTTTGATGTGATGGCTCATAAAATTATAACAATATCATTTCTTTGTACTTTACCTAGTAAAATATGAAAACAGAAATGCTCTTGTAAGCTAACCTGTTCTATGTTTATATGCCCATGCCATTTAAAGAATGGTGACAGGGCATTAAGTGTTACCCTGTCTGTCAGTCCGGTCAGTATGTGAAATTTCCACTGAAATTTTAGTTTCTAACCAATAAGATTTGTACACCTTTTAAGGATTCAATTTATAACTGGTATATTCAACAATATATCAAAACACAGGTCAAGTATGATTTCAGTTACATTCCACAAAATTTATACAACATTATGCATTCCTTACCAAATCATATGCAAAAAATTGATTTATAACTGATAATATTTGAATGCTTTTGAAATCTATAAAGATTTTTCATATATAGATATTTTCACTCTGGACAAAATTTAACAGTCTTTAGTGAGTTGGAGTGTAGTATGAAAAATCAGGTGTCTGTTGCAAAGATCAAGGTCACTACTTTGGATCAAAAGTCAAATAATAACTTAAAACATGAGAGTATATTTCTATATACATGGCTGGATTTTCATAACATTTATCACAAATGTTCACTTATGTATACATCTTTCTCCCCAATCTGAAGCTTTAAGGTTCAGTTCTGAATAATGGCAACAGGCTTGATATATGCTGCCAGTGGGCTTGTCTAATTATGTACATATTTTGATTACCCACTCAATATAAGCATTGTTCTTAACGCAGGCATTCAAGTCATATGGGTACAATTCTACTTTTGACTATATTTTGTTGTATATTATGTCAGTCTTGTATGTAAAAAATCCTTAAAACAGCACCTCCTATATTACTGGCCGTTTGCATTAAAGCTTCTTTCATTCAGATTGTTATAACTTGTGTCACCTCAATATGTACCAATAATTTAAAGGGACTCACTCCATTGAGGTTTAAAAGCCTAAAACATAACATTTGAATTTCTACAGAAATGAGCCGGGGCACTTGATACAGAAATATATGCACAGATAGTGAAGAAATATACTTTGAAATAAATTGAAAATCAATTTTTTTATGCTTTTCTCAGCCTGATCTGCGTGATATGTGTTTAAACGCTTTCATTTTGGGTCATTTTTTTACAATTTGAATAATTATTCTTTAAAAACGAAGTGCGCAAATGATCTGAAATTTTTCTCAAAGATTAGTGGTCAAAACATACATCAAGTGGTACATTAATCTAGAAAAATAAATTTCAGTCTCATCATGTCAAAAAACCTCAGTGGAGTTCCTTTTACACATTTTTTCTGACAAACTAAATTTCATTATCTCCATATATTTAATCATTTATTTTTTATATTACATATATTTTTACTTTTATGCAAGTTTTGACAATAAAAGTTTATTTTAAATCATTGTTCTTTGTTTTGCTATGACTTTAGCAGCATGTACATCAATTTCATACTAAAACACAATTAGTTATGATTGAACTTACAAATGTAAGCACATGATGAGCTTTTCTTGTCCTTGAGTTAAAAATAAAAAGTCTCTTCATTAACTATGAAGTAGTTATATAAGTCATGACCGATTTAGGTCAAACTGAGTGGTTCTTTGTGTTCATAATGCAGTAGTATTATCTATTAATTCA